GCAAACTAATGTGATATACAAGAGAAAGAATAAAAACCATATGATTATTTCCATAGATGCAGAAAAAGCATTTGACAAAGTACAACATTCATGATAAAAAGACTCAACAAAGTAGGTTTAGAGGGAACATACTTCAATATAATAGAGACCATATATGAAAAACCCACAGCTAACATCATACTCAATGGTAAAAACCTGAGAGCTTTCCCCCTAAGATCAAGAACAAGACAATGCAGTCCACTCTCACCATTTTTATTCAACATAGTATTGGAAGTCCTAGCCACTGCAATTAGACAAGAAAAAGAAATAAAAGCATCCAAACTCATAAGGAAGAAGTTAAACTGTCACTATTTGCAGATTACATGACACTGTATATAGAAACCCTAAAATTTCCAACAAGACACTACAAGAATTGGGGCCTGGGTGGCTCAGTTGTTAAGCAGCTGCCTTCGGCTCAGGTCAGGATCCCAGGGTCCTGGGATTGAGCCCCACTTTGGGCTCCCTGCTCAGCGGGAAGCCTGCTTCTCCCTCTCCCACTCCCCCTGCTCGTGTTCCCTCTCTCGCTGTCTCTCTCTCTCTGTCAAATAAATAAATAAAATCTTTAAAAAAAAAAAAGACACTACAAGAATTGATAAATGAATTCAGTAAGGTTGCAGGACACAAAATCAATATATAGAAATCCATTGCATTTGTGTACACTAATAATGAAGTAGCAAAAAGATAAATTAAGAAAACAGTCCCATTTGCAATAGCACACACACACACAAAAACACCTAGAAATAAACTTAGCTAAGGAGACAGAAGACCTACATTCTGAAAACTATAAAACACTGATAAAAGAAATAGAAGAGAACACAAACAAATGGAAAAATAGTCCATGCTCAGGGATTGGGAGAATATTGTTAAAATGTCTATACTACCCAAAGCAACCCACAGAGTCAATGCAATTCCTATGAAATTACCAGTATTTTTTACAGAACTAGACCACAGAATCCTAAAATTCATGTGGAACCACAAAATACCCACAAATAACCAAAGCAACCTTGAAAAAGAATAAAACTGGAAGTATCACAATCCCAGATTTCAGGATATACTACAAAGCTACAGTAACCAAGCCATTACAGTGCTGGCATAAAAATAGATACATAGATCAGTGGAACAGAATGGAGAGGCCAGAAATAAGCCCGTGATTATATAGTCAAATTAATCTTCAACAAGGAGGCAAGAATATGGAATGAGAAAAAGACAGTCTCTTCAGGAAATGGTGTTTGGAAAACTCGACAGTTACCTGCAAGTGAAACTGGATCACTTTCTTACTCCACACATAAAAATAAACTCAAAATAGATAAAGGACATAAATGTGAGACCTGAAACCATAAAAAGGGGACAAGCAGTAAATTTTGACATTTGGCTGTAGCAAAACCTTTCTAGATATGTCTCCTGAGTCAAGGGGAACAAAAGCAAAAATAAACTGTTGGGACTACATCAAAATAAAAAGCAAAATATAAAGCACAGCAAAGGAAATAACCAACAAAACTAAAAGACAACCTACTGAATGGGAGAAGATATTTGCAAGTGACCTATCCAATAAAGGGTTAGTATCCAAAATATGTAAAGAACTTTTACAACCCAACACCAAAAACCAAATAATCCAATTTAAAAATGGGGCAGGAGACATGAACAGACATTTCTCCAAAGAAGATATCCAGATGGCCAACAGGCATATGAAAAGATGCTCAACATCACTCATCATCAGGGAAATGCAAATCAAAACTACAATGAGATATCACCTTGCACCTCTCAGAGGGCTAAAACCAAGTGTCCATTGATGAATGGATAAAGAAGATGTGGTATGCATGCATATATGTAAACACACATACACACAAACTCACCCTCACAAATGAATATTACTCAATTATAGAAAACAGTGAAATCTTGCCATATGCAACAACACGGATGGAGCTAGAGAGTATATTGCTAAGTGAAATAAGTCAGACAAAGACAAATACCGTATGATTTCACTCATATGTAGAATTTAAGAAACAAAACCAACAAAGAAAAAACAAAAACAAAAAACCCCAAACTTCTAAAAAATTTATTTAAATTCAATCAACATTAGGTAGAGTTCAGTGATTCATCAGTTGCATATATCACCCAGTGCTCATTACATCACGTGCCCTCCTTAATGCCCATCATCTAGTTACCCCATCCCCTCACCCACCTCCCCTCCAGCAACCCTCAGTTTGTTCCCTATAGTTAAGAGTCTCTCATGGTTTGTCTCCCTCTCTGATTTTGTCTTATTTTATTTTTCCCCTCCCTTCCCTTATAATTCTGTTTTGTTTCTTAAATTCCATATATAAGTGAAATCATAATTTTCTTTCTCTGATTGACTTATTTCCCTTAGCATAATATCCTCTATTTCCATCAATATCATTGCAAATGGTAAGATTTCATTTTTTTCGATGGCTGAGTAATATTCCATTGTATATACATCATATTTTCTTTATCCATTCATTTATCGATGGACACGAAAAAAATGCTCATCACTCGGCATCGGGGAAATACAAATAAAACCACAGTGAGATACCACCTCACACCAGTCAGAATGGCTAAAATTAACAAGTTAGGAAACAACAGATGTTGGCGAGGATGCGGAGAAAGGGGAACCCTCGCTGTTGGTGAGAATGCAAGCTGGTGCAGCCATTCTGGAAGACAGTATGGAGGTTCCTCAAAAAGTTAAAACAAACAAACAAAAAATAGACTCTTAACTAGGTTACCAGAGGGGAGGTGGGTGGGGGGATGGATGAAACAGATGAAGGAGGATTAAGAGCACACTTATTGTGACAAGCACTGAGTAATGTATAGAGTTGTTGAATCACTGCTGTACACCTGAAACTAATATAATGCTGTATGTTAATCATACTGGAATTAAAAATTTTTTAAAAGGAGTAAGATTTCATATGGTGGTAATTAATATCTTAGGACTGTGAAAAGAGTGAGCATCAAGGTTTAAGTAATGTTCTTTACCTGTCCCTAATCCCAATATATAAGAGCCTTTTGTGGTGGCATTTATTTCAATTTAACTTCAGTTTGTAATGTACACATCCCTCTTACTCCATCTAAATTCCTTATTCTCAAGTCCTTCCATCACCTCCTTATTTTCACCCATCGTGGTCACCTTTCCTGCCCCTCAGACAGAGTCAAGCACTGCAGGTCTGAGGCAGTGGCTCTATCCACTATGATAGTGGGTCTGAGTTTGCGGGCTATCTCACATGGTGGCAGAGCTCTTGAGGGTGTGGGGCAGGCCCAGTGTCTATTAGCTCTGTTATTTTCCACTAAGGCCTCTTCTGTTCCCAGTCTACTGCCATTATTCTCCTGGCTCCAAATAGGAATCTCTCCTCACTTGTCACATATTATAAGTTGAATATTGTCTCACCAAAATGGATATGTTGAAATCCTATCCCCTGTAACTCAGCATGTGACCTTATTGGAAATATGGTTGCTATAGGTGTAATTAAGACATAGTCATACTGGTTTAGGGTGGGCTCCTAATCCAGTATGACTGGTGTGCTTATACAAAGGAAAAATTTAGACACAGACACACATACTTCACCTGTGTAGAGATCAAGGTACAGATTGGAGAAATGATTCTACATACCATGGGACAGCAAAGATTGACAGCAATCACTAAAAGCTAGGAAAGAGGCATGGAATAGATTCTTGCTCACAGCCCTCAGAAGGAAACAACCCTACGGACACCCTGATATCAACTTTTAGCCTCTAAGACTGAGACAATAAAATTCTGTTGTTTAAACTATTCAGTTTTGTGATATTTTGTTACAGCAGCCCTAGCAAACTAATACAGCCCATTCTAGTAGAATCTCATACAACAATCTGGTAGTTTTCTAAGAGTTTTGGCTGTTGGTATACCACTCATATAGGAAGTCCTGTTCCTCTTCTATCCAACTAGATAAAAAATATGTTACATATAAAAGTTGACACTGTCAACATTTTAGAGTGTCCCAGAAACTCTGCATTGAATATCTCTGGTGTATCTTTACATATGTTTATCTAATCCTTTCACTGGTGACTTCCTTAACAGCTACTGAGGTCAATTCATTCCAATCAGAACTAAAGGATAAAATGTATCTGATCAAACACCATGTGACATCTTACATACTTTTTTCACACAAATTATCTTCAATTTATCTACAACTGATAATGTGGTTGAATACTAAAAAATTCTCATGTAATTTGGCTATTTGGAAAGAAGTATTTCATTTTCCCCTAGAAATGCTGCGTTATATGATAGAAACAAAATTCTTAGACCTGTAAAAGAATCCTTAATGGATCAAGATTTTAAAACATTTCTTGACTACTGAACCTAACCGCAATGTGTATCTGCTTTTGCACTTGCATTTATTTCAAATTCAACTATAGTTTGTAGGTACTTGTCCTTCTTACCCCATCTAATTTTCTGATTCCAAGTCCCTCTATCACCTCTTTACTCTTCATGCTTCATGGATGTTTTCCTTGCTCCTCAGATATGGCCAACTAACTTTAGGCCTGGGGCTGGGACTCCATCCAATATGATGGTGGGTTTGGGTTTAGGGCAACTAGCCTCATATGGTGGCAGAGACCGGAAGGGTGATGGAAAGATCTTGGGTCTATTAGCTCCTTTATTTTTCACCAAGGGCTCCTCTGCTCCTGTCCACTGTTTTGCTTCTTGCTTCCAAGTAGTCTCCTCCCTTGGCTCATACAAGTAGAATGTCACACACAGACACTCTGATGGTTTCCCAAGCATTTTGACCGGTAGTACCTAAAGCTCATGAACAGACCCATAGTAAATGTTCTCCCTCTTTGATTTGTTCCTTCTTTTCCATCTAGATCCCAAACCGGAAAAGTTACATACAGAAACTGACAGGCTATCTGAACAAGCTGTATTGCCACTGATGTTCCCAAGTGGTTTCCCCACTCAGATGACAGAAAAATCAACTCACCTATTGTCGATATTGTGGCCAGAGGACACCGAAGAGGGCATTGGAGCATTGTTATTTCTGCCAAAGGGAAAAAATACACAAAAAATAAAGTCAGACAACATGGAAAGAAATCATGCTCTTTCCTGAGGAGAGGTGACAGAACCTGAAGCAACAGCTTTGAATTACCACAGTGTAAGTCAGCTTCTGGGGTGTGTGTGTGTGTGTGTGTGTGTGTGTGTGTGTGCGCGCGCACACGCGCGCATGCACACATGTGCATGTGTGTGTACATGCATATGCATGTGCATATTTACTGGAAATAGTAAGAAGCAAGTAAGAGAGAAGTTGCAATGATGATTAAATTTTCCTTGCTTCTTTCCCAATTTTTCTACCATTCCAGTAACTGTTGAATAAATTTGGGAAGAGAGAGACAGAAACATGAGAGTGTAGGGATGGGGAGGTACATCCAGGTAACAGTTGATGAAAGGATATAAGGAGAATGGAAAGAAAATGCTGGAACAATGAGAATTTCAATGGCAAGGCTAGTCCCTAGTCAGTATTTGGTAGGGCAGAAAGAAGTAGCTAGATTAGAATCTGCCTAAATTTTGTTTTGTTTTGAAACTAGAGCACATCAACAGAATGACTTTTCTTCCTGTTAATCCTTTAAAAACATTTTTATTAAGATAAAATTGACATACATTATTAGTTTCAAGTGTACATGATTTGATATTTGTATATATTACAAAATGATCACCACAATAAGTCTAAGTTAACATCTGTCACCATACTTACAGAATTTTTTCTTGTGATGAGGACTTTTAAGATTTACTCTCCTAGAAACTTTCATATATGCAATACAGTATTATTAACTATAGTCACCATGTTGTATATTACATCCCCATAACCTATTTTATAACTAGTAATTTGTATCTTTGGACCCCCATCACCCAAGTGGAAGAAACATTCAGTGAATTCAAATACAGGGCAGTGGAATTCATCTAATCAGAGAGCGAAAAAAGGAAAGAATAAAAAAGTGAAGCTAAAACAACAATCAAAAATCTTAGGGGCACAGCAAAAGCAGTACTAAGAAGAAAATAAATAGCAATACAAAACTACCTCAAGAAACAAGAGAAGCTCAAATACAAAATATACCCTCATATCTAAAGAATCTAGAAAAAGAATAAAAGAAGCCCAACATGAGTAGAAAGAAGGCAATAAAAAAGATCAGAGCAGAAATAAATGGCATAGAGACTAGTGTGTGTGTGTGTGTGTGTGTGTGTGTGTGTGTGTGTGTGTGTATCAATGAAACAAAGCGTTGGTTTTTTTGAAAAGATCAATGAAATGGACAAACCTTAGCCACCCTCATTAAGAAAAAAAGGACCCAAATAAATAAAATCAAACAAAAGAGGAAAACTGACACCACTGAAAAACAAAGAATTATATGAAAATACTATGAGAAATTATATGCCAACAGATTAGGCAACCCAGAAGAAATGGATAAATTCCTAGAAACATACAATTTTCCAAAACTGAATTGGAATGAAATATAAATCTGAATAGGTGATTACTAGGAATGAAATTGAATTGGTAATCAAAAAATTCCCCCCAAATAAAAGCCCAGGCCAACATGGATTCACAGGTGTATTCTACCAAACATTTAAAGGAGAGTGAATACCTATTCTCAAATCATTCCAAAAATAGAGGAGGAAGGAAAACTTACAAATTCATAATATCAGGCAGGAATTACCCTGATACCAAAACCAAAGACACCACAAAGAAAACTATAGGCCAATGTCACTGATGAACATAGATGCAAAAATCCTAAACAAAATATTAGCAAAATCACATTCAACAATACATTAAAAGGATCGTTCACCACGAGTGAGTGAGATTTATTCCAGGGATGCAAGGATGATTCAATATTCATAATCAATCAATGTGATACACCAAGTCAACAAAATGAAGGATAAAAACTATATGATTATCTCATTAGATGCAGAAAAAGCATTTGACAAAATTCAACATCGATTCATGATAAAAACTCTCAACAAATTTGGCTTAGAGGGTATATACCTTAACACAATAAAGGCCATATATGAAAAGCCCACAGCTGACATTATACTCAATGGTGAAAAAAAGAGCATTTTCTCTGAGATCAGGAACAAGTCAAGCATGTCCACTCTCGCCACTTTCATTCAACATAGTAGTGGAAGTCCTAGCCACAGCAATCAGATGAAAGAAAGAAAAAGCAAAGAAAGAAAACAAAGAAAAGAAAACAAAGAAATAAGTGGCATCCATATTGGTAAGGAAGAATTTAAACTCACTATTTGCAGATGACATAATACTATTCATAGAATCCCTAGAGACTATTAGAAGTAATAAATGAAGTCAGTAAAGATGCAGGATACAAATTAATACCCAGAAATAGGTAGATTTTCTACAGACTAATAAAGAAGTAGCAGAAAAAGAAATTTAGAAAACAGTCCCATTTATAAGTGCACCAAAAATAAAATACTTAGGAATAAATTTAACCAAGGTGATGGAATACCTGTACTCTAAAACTATAAAACATTGATAAGATAAATTGAAGGCAACACAAACAAACGGAAAGCTATCCTGCACTCATGGATTAGAAGAATTAATCTTGTTAAAATGTCCATTTTAAAATGTCCACAAAGCAATCAATAGATTCAATGCAATCCCTATCAAAATACAAACTGCATTTTTCCAGAACTAGAAACAACAATCCTAAAATTTGTATGGAACAACAAAAGACACTGAATAGCCAAAGTGACATTGAGAAAGAACAACAAAACTGGAGGTATTATAATCCAAGATTTCAAGATATACTACAAAGCTGTAGTAATCAAGACAGTATTGTGCTGGCACAAAAACAGAAACAAATCAACGTAACAGAATAGAGAGCCCAAAAATAAACACACACTTATGGGGTCAATTAAACTACAACTAAGGAAGCAAGAATAAACAATGAGAAAAAGACAGTCTCTTCAAATGGTGCTGGGGAAACTGGACAGCGACATGCAAAAGAATGAAACTGGACCACTTTCTTACAAGTCACAAAAATAAACTCACAAGGGATTAAAGATCTAAATGTGAGACCAAGCACTGGGTGTTATATGCAACTAATGAGTCAATGAACATTACATCAAAAACTAATGATGTACTATATGTTGGCTAATTGAATTTAAATCGAAAAAATAAATATGATGTAAAAAATAAATGTGAGACAAGAAACTACAAAAATCCTAGAAGAGAATAAAGACAGTAATTTCTGTTAACACTGGCCATAGCAACATTTTTCTAAATATCTGTCCTCCGGCAAGAGAAACAACAGCAAAAATAAACCACTGGAACTACACTAATATAAAAAGCTTTTGCACAGCAAGGGAAACTATCAATAAATCAAAAAGGCAACCTACTGCATGGAAGAAGATATTTGTAATTGATATGTCCAATGAGTTAATATCCAAAATGTATAACTAACTTATACAACTCAACTCCCCAAAACAAAAATGGGCAGAAAACCTGAATAGACATTTTTCTGAAGAAGACAGATGGCCAACAGACATGAAAAGATGCTCAACATCACTCACCATCAGGGAAATGCAAATCAAAACTACAATGAGATATTACCTCACACCTGTCAAAATGAACAGCTAAAATCAAGACATAAGAAATGTTGGCAAGGATGTGGAGAAAAATGTAATCCTCATGCACTATTGGTGGGAATATAAACTGGTACAGCCACTGTAGAAAATGATGGAGTTTCCTCAAAAAATTAAAAATAGAACTGCCATATGATCTAGTAATTCCACTACTGGGTATTTACCCAAAGAATATGAAAACACTAATTCAAAAAGATACACAACCCCTATGTTTTTTGCAGCATTATTTACAATAACCAAAAGTATGGAAACAACCTAAGTGTCCATTGATAGATGAATGGATAAAGAGGGGAGATACACATACACACACACACACACACACACACACACACACACACACACAATGGAATATTATTCGGTCATATGAAAGAATGAAATCTTGCCATTTGCAACAACATGGATGGATCTAGAGGGTATAATGCTAAGTGAAGTAAGTCAGTCAGAGAAAGATAAATACCATATGATTTCACTTATATGTGGAATTTAAGATACAAAACAAATGAACAAGGGAAAAAAGAGACAAAACAAAAAAAGACCCTTAAATAGAAAATAAACTGATGGTTACCTGAGGGCAGGTGGGAGGGGGTCAGGTGAAATAGGTGAAGGGGATTAAAGAGTACATTTATCACGATGAACACTGAGTAATGTATAGAATCGTTGAATCACTATATTGTATACCTGAAACTATCAGATTTCTGTCTGCTAATTATACTGAAATTTTACAAAATTTTAAGGGAAAATTATGGGTAATTTGAAGAAGTATTTGTAGTCATTAGTTGGCCTTTTATCTTCCATGTAATATTTGTCTAGACAGCAAAAAATTTCCAATGGTGACCAGTTAATTTCCTCTTCAGCACTGCTCATTCTCCAACATTGACATTAAGTGGTTGAATAACTGGCCAGGAGAGAAGCAGAAAAATCTCATGACTATTTCTGTTCAGACATATGTGATTTTTAAAGTGTGTTCTTTCCTTGGCTTGAGTACATAATAAAAATGCCTTCAGATCAGAGCAATAGCAAGTATTCTCAGTCAGATTACTTAGAAACAAGTCAAAATGAACTCAGTGAGTAAAAATTTAATCAGCAAAACATGTTAACATTCTATTAGTATCATTAATGAAAGGAGCACAATTGAAGATTAAGTAGTATTCTACATTTCTCTATTTTAAAAGACTGATAGGGCACCTGGGTGGCTCAGTTGGTTAAGCAACTGCCTTCGGCTCAGGTCATGATCCCGGAGTCCTGGGATCAGTCCCATATGGGACTCCCACTCAGCGGGGACCCTGCTTCTCCCTCTGACCCTCTCCCCTCTCATGCTGTTTCTCTCTCTCTCTCTCTCTCTCTCTCTCAAATAAATAAAATCTTAAAAAAAAAAGACTGATAAAATTACTCTCAAAGATATAGTCACATTTTCAACCTAGATCATTTAAGTGTGATAAATGGAAAAAGATTTTAAAACATGGTGCTTTTCTGCAAATTAAAATGAATTATTATATATCCTTTCTCCCCACACACTAATATCTTTCCATAGTTTTCCATTTTCTTCCTGCCTCAGGATAAGCTATCTCCCCCAAAATAAGAGATCCATCTGTATCTCCCTCCCCCCAGACTTCAACCTGACTTACTCACATGAAAATCAATGTCTTCATCACCATCACTGTGGCTAGAGAGGTGGTCTAGCTTATTTTAAACACCAACAAATGGAAAAACTTCTCATTAGAGATTTCCTACATGGAGCTGTGATGTGACCAATTTATCTGATCAACAAGAATTTACTGAATCTGAAAATTATAGTAAACATGATCTAGCTCACAGCAAATCCTAACTTTTTAGAATTTTAGATCCTTATCCAGAAAATTCTATACCATCATGGATATTTCAGACTGAATTTCTCCACCCCCTCCAATATATACCTTACCTTTCATTGGTGGATTCATTAGAGATTCTAGATATAAATTCATTTCGATCATTTCTAAAGAATTAAAAACATCTATAATCAGACCCCAGTGACTTCACAGCCAAACTTTTTTGAACTTAGAAGTAGTCATCAATTTATAAACTGGTTGAATTCTAAAAATAAAACTTTGTGAATTAGTTATTTGGAAACCAGTATTTCAAATTTTCATTAGAAATAGGGCTTTATATAGTTGTATTGAAAATATCAGGCTGTCAAAAGTACAATTTTTTACTGCTAAACTCAACTCTCCTAAGGAACTGCACTGAGGTTGAATTTACTTCAAAATACAACTGCAGTTTGTAGATAGACAGCCTTTCAGCTTCTTATTTCCTGATTATCAAGTTACTTCACTATATCCTTATTCTTCATGTGTCACATAAGTCTTTTCTGTTCCTCAGTTTGGTTCAAAAACTGCATGCTTGAGGCAGGGGCTTCCTCCAATATGATGGTGGGTTTACGTTTGGGACACCAGCTTTAGATGGTTGCAAAGCTCTGGAGGGTAAGGGGACAGACCAAGGTCTATTAGCTCCATCCTTTTTTAAAGATTTTATTTATTTATTTATTTATTTATTTATTTATTTATTTATTTATTTATCAGACAGAGAGAGAGAGAGCACAAGCAGGGTGGTGGGGAGGTGGAGAGGCAGAGGGAGAAGCAGGCTTCCCACTGAGCAAGGAGCCCGATGCAGGACTCGATCCCAAGACACTGGGATCATGACTGGAGCCAAAGGCAGGTGCTTAACTGACTAAGCCACCCAAGGGTCCCAGCTCCATTCTTTTCTGTTGAGAGCTCCACTGCTCCCTGTCCACTGCCGCCTCTCCTTGCTCAAATAATAGGATCCTCTCTTCACCTGGTCCACTTAAGCAGCATCTCACCACACACATTATGAGAGTTTCCTAAGAGCTTTGGTTACTGGTTACTAAGAGTCCCAAACAAAATTTAAGTAGAAAGTCTTGTTTTTATGACTTGTTCTTTTTTCTACTTAAACCCCAAAAGAAAGACAGTTACCAACAGAAGCTTATAATCTCTTATGGAAACCTCTTATTGCCACCAAGGCTATTACCTTTTGGTACACAGATCAGTCAAGTCAACTTACCCCTTGTCATCACTGTTGTCAGAGTATCCTAAAGAGGAATCCATAACTTTGCTAAAGAGTAAAAAAAAAAAAAAAAAAAAAAAAAAAAAAAAAAAGTCAGGCATTTTGGAAAGCAATCGGGTTCTTTTTCCTGACAGAATTTTAGGACATAAAAAGTAAAATCATGAGGAAACAGGACAGAAACAGTTTCAGTACAGCAATGGGACCTCTGAGACAGCCCCTTGGCTCTGTGTTTGTCCACTGGAAAGAGAACGAGAGATTTAAGGGAGGTATAGTTTTCACAATTAAACCTCCTTTCTTCTCCATTTTGTCAACCATTCATACATTTGGCAATCAATTTGGGAAATGTGACTGATCTGACCATAGGGACAGGGAGGTGGATCCAGATAATAGGTAGCAAAGGACACAGAAATAAAGAAAATGCCAGAACAATAAATATTCCAGGGTCAAGGGCTAGTTCCTGGTCACCATTTAGTAGAGAAGAAATAAGAAGATAGGTAAAGAATGGCCTAAATAATGTTTAAAAGATTCTTCTGAACTGAAACTAGAACAAGTGTTCAGAATGATTTTTCTCTCAAATCATCACAAAGAGGTATCTGGTTAAACTATGCAAAGTCAAGACTTCCTGCCACCAAACCACTGAGTTGGATAATTTAATCTCTCTACTATTTAATTTCCTCACCTGTAAAATAAAACACATTGAAAATGCAAAGTGCATTTGTCTACTTCATAAAATCATGCTGAATGTTCATCATTTCACAAACATTGGTTTTTAGGCAGCCTGTCCTCTTCACCGAATGTTATACCAAAAATATCAATGTGACAAATATAAAAAAAAATCAGTGACAACAATATAAACAGATACATATTTAAATTTCAAAAACACTTCAAGATTCTCAAAGTACTATATTTCCATAATTTCCTGGGAAATTTTGGATTCCTATCCACAGGACAGTCTTCCTCCCGAAACTACAGAAATTAAACTGAAGTATGGTTTAAAAAACTAACAACACAAACCCTAGGAGTCTCCAGAGGAACAAAAGCTGTCCCTTAATTGGTAGACAGACAGGAAAAGGCTGCTATGGGCAGTCTTCAGGGCCTGGGTTGGAGGGAAAATTTTAAGTTCCATTCTTGCCTTTCCCCTGAGTTGCTTGGAGACAGTCACTGCCATTCTTAGTAGGAACTATCCAGAAGTAGTTAGGATAAAATTTGAGTAGCATTAGGTTAGTTAATGAAAACGGAAGGACTGAAGAGCAATCCTTGGGCCTTTACCTCTCCCCTATCTCCAAAGCCCAAGTGAACAACCTAGAAGCCTACCTTCTCCAATGCTGCTTTTGCCCAGGACCTTAAAGGTGACATACCCTGGCCAGAGAAATTACCTGGCTCACAGTGTTTCACTATTCTGCAGACTCTCTGTCCCCAGGCTATCACCTCCCCTCATGTTAAATTTACTGAGATAAACATACCTTAGGTCCTAGCTTTCAACAAGGGTGACTTATATTAACTTGCTCAACCCAGGATACTTTTGAAAGTTGAAAGGACAAGCTATTAATAATTATGCTTTGATAACAGCCACAGATTGAAATTGTCCCAAGCAAATCTTCAGCCCTTCCCTAATATAAGTTACTGGGGCAGGGGGGTGGGCAATGGTCACAGGGAATGTGAGCTCACAAATCAAAATAATTAGATATCTGAGGAGTACAATCACTGAAAAAGAAATACAACAAATTGAACAACATATACCATCTGAAACAGAACCATTGGATCATAGTGACCAAGATTTTTAAGTAAGCATTAGAAATACCTTAAAGATACAAGGGAAGAAGTTAATAAGTAAAATGAGAATAAGAAATCCTAAGGAAAAACCCAAGCAAAATAAGTCAGTCAGAGAAAGACAAATACCATATGATTTCACTCACGTGTGGAATTTAAGAAACAAAGTAGGGGGAAGGGGAAGGAAAAATAAGATGAAAATTGAGAGGGAGGCAGACCATAAGAGAGGATGAACTCTAGTAAACAAACTGGGGGTTCCTGGAGGGGTGATAGGTGGAGGGAAGGGATAACTGGGTGATGGACATTAAGGAAGGCACTTGATGTAATGAGCACTGGGTGTTAAAACTGATGAATCACTAAATTCTACCTCTGAAACTAAAACAAAACAAAACAAAACAAACAAACAAAAAAAGACTGAGACCAGGAAAGGTCTAATAAAATACCTGAAGGCATACGATGAATGAAGGACATCAGTGAGGGTCTTTGTAAGGCCAGGATTCTACCCTCTGCTTATACATTCATTAAAAGGAACTTCTAAATACACACACACACACACACACACACACACACACACACACACAAGAGGATACCTTAAATGTAAAAGTCTAATTGTTGAAATAAGGAAACATTTCATGGGATAAATGGTAGTTTGGATACACGTGGAAAGTAAATTAATATGGAGTTGGAAGACAAGGTTGAGAGACTCTCCCAGAAAATAGTAGAAAAAAAATTGAACATACAAAAGAAAAGCCAGTTAACATAAAGGATAAAAACAGATCTCTAATACCTGGATTATAGACATCTAAGAAAAAATTTAAAAAATATTTGAAAAATAAATTTCTCAAAATTAAGGAAAAATATCACAAAAGTGATGCTTCATCTAACAAACATTTAAATGGTATTTACTAAGTGCCAGGCATTGTCCTGATGCTTCACAAATATTTCAATTGGTCCTCATTACAACTCTTGCCAGAGAAACTATTATTATTTATTTTAACCAATTCATAGACCTTGAATAGTCATAGGTCTTTAACATCCATCATGCTGATTTGTAAGCCACTCATCACTAATAAAAAATCTGTGACCTTCCCTGCGGTAATTAACAGCAATCCTTTCACATATTTTTTCACATATTGATTGAGGCAGGACAACTAAAGCCCTTGTAGTGGCCATCTCAAAATGGTCACACACACCACCCCCCACTCCCCATGGACAGAGCAGCCCCAGTAGGGCATCCAGCTGTCCCAGAGGAGAAGCTTAAAGTGACTGACTCAGCAAAGGAAACAGTCAACAAAACTAAAAGACAACCTACAGAATGGGAGAAGATATTTGCAAATGTCTTATCAGATAAGGGGCTAGTACCCAAAATCTATGAAGAACTTATCAACCTCAACACCCAAAAACAAAAAATCCCATCAAGAAATGGGCAGAAGACATGAACTGACATTTCTCCAAAGAAGACATTCAAATGGCCGACACATGAAAAAATGCTCAACATCACTCAGCATCAGGGAAATCCAAATCAAAACCACAATGAAATACCACCTCACACCAGTCAGAATGGCTAAAAATTAATAACTCAGGAAACAACAGATGTTGGCAAGGATGTGGAGAAAGGGGAACCCTCTGAACACTGTTGCTGGGAATGCAAACTGGTGCAGCCACTCTGGAAAACAGTATGGAGGTTCCTCAAAAAGTTTAAAAAACAACTACCCTATGACCCAGCAATTGCACTAGTAGGTATTCATCCAAAGGATTTAAAGGGACACATGCACTCCAATGTTTATAGCAGCAATGTCCACAACAGCCAAAATATGGAAAGAGCCCAGATGTCCATCAACAGATGAATGGATAAAGAGGTGTATACACACACACACACACACACACACACACACACACAGTGGAATATTACTCAGCCACCAAAAAGAATGAAATCTTGCCATTTGCAATGACATGGGTGGAAGTAGAGGGTATTATGCTAAGTGAAATAAGTCAGTCAGAAAAAGCCAATTATATTATTTCACTCATATGTGTAATTTAAGAAACAAAACAGATGATCATAAGGGAAGGGAAGGAAAAATAAGATGAAAACAGGGAGGGAGACAAACCATAATAGACTCTTAACTCTAGAAAACAAACAGGGTTGCTGGAGGGGAGGTAGGTCAGGGGATAAAATAGGTGGGGGGATGGGGTAACTGGGTGGTGGGCATAAAGGAGGGCACTTGATGGAATGAACACTAGGTGTCATATGCAACTGATGAATCACTAAATTCTACCTCTGAAACTAATAATACACTACGTGTTAATTAAATTGAATTTAAATTTTTAAAAAAGTGACTGTGACTGGCACATGCATATTATTACTGGCATACTGCCTAAGCTGTAGTATTTTAAGGAAATTATAAGCATAAAACAAGGTCTTTAAATTGTGAGTTTGCCAAATTTCATTTACATACAGTTTACATTATGAAAGAAGGTATACATATATTCCCTATTCTATTAACCAAGGCTGAGAATGATGCTTACAATTTAGTAAATTCGAGTCTTATCACTTACTTATTACTTTTTTGATGCATGAACCAGAGATATAAAGGGTTCCTCTTTAATTTCTGCATGGTATTGTCTTGTGGTTGTATTTAATCTACAATTAATCTAGAAAAAAAAAGGCACATATGAGTTTTTTATTCAGTATTTTTAAAACACATAGGATATTTGCCCAATTAGAAAGAAAGTCATACATAGAAATTATTAGGCATGGATCAGCATTTCTAAAGTCTTGAATCCACGAACTTCTAAAATCTACAATACCGTACAATTTTATCAATCCTGTGAAATGTGCATTTTGTATTTTCCCCTCAGTATTTTTTTTTGGGTCGAGAAATAGAAGAAAAGTTTTTTGAATGTTCAGGAAAAGTTTAGTTCAAAGACAGGACACTTTAAAGATTGCTCTCTTGCTGCATATGATGAAACAAATGAAACAAAATTCATTTCAAACCAATTTTACATCATCATAGGGATTTATGATATTTCCATCCTAAAATATTCTGTAGCATAAGTCAAAGGGATAAGAAAGCAAAGATGCATCCTTCAACACTTCACAGAACACTTTGCGTCATGCAAGAAAACCGGAAGTCACTGGAGAATAAGATATTTTCAAAAAGTACATTGCCAAGTTATCAAGGAGGCAGCCTGAAATGTGCCACAAGGCCTAAGTTCTGGGCAAAGAGAGAAAAATGGAAACAAACTGAAAAATATTTTCATAAATAGATCAATTTGTACATAAATGTTGATTTTGAATTTTGGGTTTGAGGGCCAACCACCTGTAAATTCCCTACCTTCATACCACCTCATAGGCAGTGGGAGTAGGAATCCCAAAGTTCTGAGGTTGCTACCTTCTGTTCCAGAGGTGGCCAGGAAAACCAGGGTGGACCAAGGCGGAGCCACATATTTAAGGATAGTTCTTCCCTACAAACCTCGGATCTGCTTACCTGCAGTCAGGGCTGCTTTTGCGGGGCCACAACAGAAGGGTGGTGGACGCAGAAGGACTATGATCTTGTTACTTAAATACAACTTTTCCTAAGTGGGATCAAACATTACTAGAGATACTAATAGCAGTGTTCTTTCCTGCTGCCTTCCAGGACAATGCCTTTCACTTCTTTTCCTTTTTTATTTTTAATTTCCCCAAACCAAGCCTGTTAAGTCAACTCTTGCCCCAACTTCTGGCCAGCAACAAGGTTACAGCTATTTGGTCCTATATTGGCCTAGTGCACCCCTACCCCCTACGCACACATCCCCACCCCACAACCCCTCCATCTCTGGTACTCTGAGGGTGAGGAGGTTCTGGGAAGTCCCCGGGAAGAAACAGACATTTATTAATGCTCCCCACAGCTGAGCACAAGGCAAAACTTCCTGTCTGTGGCCACGAAGACCCCCATCCTGCCCCCTGCCCCCACCCCCCAGCCCTCCCTCTAAAACATTATATTCTTCTCAATCTCAGTGAGGATGAAAGGCAACGTTAGCCAACATAAACGGCAGAGTATAGGATGCCCTTGTCCAGAGACCCTCCACCCCTAGGTCTTTACCTGGTGCTGGTAACAAGCCACTACGGGAATAAGAACTCCGTGTCCATGGCAACCCCAAACAACAGATTCCAGGTGGTCCTGAGATAGTAGTAGAGTGGGGAATACACTGAACTTGGTTCCAGGCTATAGGGTCTTAAAAATAGATGCAGTTCTCCTTAAAGATGGGAGATGGGGGAGCACCAGGATCAAAGATACCGGGATAATAATCTCAGAGCCGATTGTCCCACCTTCTACCTCTTATTTTGCAAGAAAGAGAATGATCAGAGGGCCGAATGTTTTCTGGCTAATACTAAATTTGACTAAAATAGGCAAGGTTGATACAGGACTCAGGACAAAAATTATATATGCAAGCTATCATTTCATGGGATTGAGAGGAAGCAATCAAATATTAGTTTTAAACTTAAAATACACAGATTTTCCTTTTAGAGTAAACCTGAGGAGGTGGAAACAAATGTCAAAGAAAGGAAAACAAATATGGAAAGAAGGTTTTAAAAAGTATAGGTGAAACAATAGAACGTTCTGTATGAAAATTACAATATAAGAATTACCCCAAAAAGAAATAAGAAATACCTGTTTGACAGTCTATATTGGTACATGTTCTGAGGCTGAATAAATGGTCACAGTTGAAGTCATGGAAAAGAAATTAAGGTCATATTTATTTAATATTTCTGTAAGTACTTAGCAAGATACAAGAATGAATAAAACATGGTCACTGACTTCAGTATCACGTTGATGACCTCCAGGCCAGACCATTTTGAAATACACCCAGAGCATTCTCTTCTCTGTGAGAAAGACCTGCCCTAAAGAGAAACTACTTCACCAGAGTCTTGTCTGACCTAAAGGAAAGACAAGAAGACAACCTTAGCCCCTTCTAGCCTTCCTGTCTCCCATAAGAGGATGAAAAAGAGACTAAGAAACCAATTTGAAGGCCCCAGTACTTGCTTCTTTCCGTGTCTTAATATTTTATTGAAAACTGGGCTTTTAAAATAACTGCACTGATCTTTCCCTTTCCCCAGGGTTTATTGTTGTTTATTTCGTGACTTTTCTGAATTCTGATTAGAAATTTCTAATTCAAAATTCTGTAAAGTCTCTATTCTTTGTAAAGTGCAGCCACTGAAGTCAGCTTGATTAGCATAATGGTCAGCTAATAAATGTACAGATTCCCTCAGATGCCTGGAACCGGTAAGTCTCTCAGTAGACACAAAGAAGCTTCATGTACTGCTTGAGCGTGGCTTCCACACAGCCAGGCAGGTTACAACTCCACCATAACCTACATTTTCTTCTTGTGCAAAACCTCAAGATTGGCCAGAGATAAGAAAGACCTGAAAAGACCTAAAATTTTCAAGTGTGCAAAATCCTGGACATGTGTACAGCCCTAGATGTTCAGATGGCCTTTAGAGTCCCAGGAATATGCTGCAGCTTTTCAAACTCCCTATGGATATCACATTACACAGCTTTTTCTTTTGCCCCAACTATTATCTATACCGCAGGCAGCCATGATGTTCAACAGTTGTCTCTGATTCACTGATTTCAACAAATGTCCCCAAGGCAAAGGCTGGGTAAGCTCCAAGTCAGGCCACATGAAGACAGTCTTGTGAGTGGGGTCTTGCAGGGACCCACTAGATAGGTCAAACAGCGACATTTTTCTGGGAATAGACCTTTGAATAGCTCTAATCCCCTTCTGTCCCCTCCATTGGCACCCAGGAGACTGGTTTTCACCATGATTGCAGGATGTTGGTCTTCAAGGCTACCATGGAGCTGGGTTAAGTGTGACATGAATGGCGTAAGTTAGAACATCACAAAGTTCTCTGTCCTCACCAAAATCCAGCCTATGTTCTTAAATAAATGCTCCCCAGCTTGCTGTAAGCCTTTGGTTAATTTCCAGAGTTCTGGAAAAGATGATTCTGACCATTTTTGCCAACATTCTTGCTATTTATATAAAGGAAAGAATTTTTGGAGATCTCTATTTTGCCATTTTCACTGGCATTACTTCTAAAAATACTTTTAAATATATTGCTAAATTTAAAAAAAGGTAAGGGAAGTACTAAATGATCACAGGCACACAAACACACACATACATACATGCATATATACACACTCTGGTACTGAAACTAAAGTGGTAAATGACACAGAAGCCTGGAATGCCTTGGAAGTGTGCCAAACCAAAAAATCTAGAGTTTTGTTGGTTAATATTGTGGCTGCCTGAAGTGCTAAATAGGAAGTGGGCAAACAATAGGCTAACCAAAATGTTCTGAAGGGAGGGAGGGAGGGAGGGAGGGAGGAAGGGAGGAAGGGAGAGAGGGAGGAAGGGAGGGAGGAAAGTATGTCAAGAAAGGACTTTGAAAAGCTCTTAACATATTCCTGGGAATCTAGAGTTTTGTTGGTTACCTAAGTAATAGGATTTGAATTCGACATAGTGGTGAGCCGAATCTGAGACCTACATGTAAATCCAGGCAGCCAGACTGGCTATATATTTAGTGGAAGAAAAAAGAAACTTGAAAAAAACCTATATGCTAACAGAGTGACCAACAAGCAAATCAGTGTCTCTGTTGGCATTGGGTTTAAAAATATTAATAATTTTAATAGTCTCCCTAATGTTTTGTAACCAGCTTTATGCTCTTCCTGGGATTTGAATTGATGCCACACTCACAGTCCAGGAAACCTCAATCCAATCAATTAAATTGAAGTGGCTCCTGATTGGTAGTGACACTAGCACACAGCAGAAACCAAGGCAAATCATCTCAATTTAGATCCCTCAGGATTCCTAAACCTAAAGTTCAGCTAAATATGAGCTCTTAACACAATCTAGCAAACATGTGAGGAATCATACTTTCATGAACAGAAGTCAACAGAAATTACAAAAAGAAAAAAACATGGAAAGAATACAGATATTAAAGTAAGAAACTTTATTCTCAGGAAATATGTTTAAAAGTATGGTATACACAACTAATGAGTCATTGAACATTATATCAAAAACTAATGATGCAATATATGTTGGCTAATTGAATTTAAATAAAAAAATAAATAAAAGTATGTTTGAAGTGCAAGATAGAGATCAACACTACCTGGAACAAAAAGAAGGGCCACTGGCCTGCTTTGGAACTTCAAAATTGATTTTTTGAAGGGGACGATGCTAGAGCTTGGACTTGAAGGACAGTAGATAAGAAGCCAGGAGGAAAAAAGTGGTGAGAAAATTCCAGACAGAAAAATCATAAAAAACAATTACATGGAAGCCCTGAACAGCATGGGGACTTTGAGGAAACTATAAACATTATCTATTACTGACATAAATAACATGCAGAGCAGGGAGTAGCAGAAGTTGCAAAAATAGCCCTGTACACCATATTAAGAAGTACAGGCTTTATATGCCAGCAAAATTGGACACTAGAAGAACTGGATAAATTCCTAGACACTTAGAATCTTCCAAAACTGAACCAGGAAGTAATTGGGCTGTTCAGATTTTTTATTTCTAGCAATGAAATTGAATCAGTAATCCAAAAATTCCCAAACAAAAGTCCAGGACCAGATGAATTCATAGGTGAATTCTACCAAATATTTTTAAAA